TGATAAATACATGGCATTGTATTTTAAGATTGGTAAATCATGATAAGAATTATGATATGCAAGTTGATAAGTTTAAATGAATTTAATTTATCGGTTTGATGCTTGAATTCAATAATGTCTTTTCTCAAGTATGGCATATAGATAGGGGGAATTAAGGTTAACTCTGTCATCAATTGATTGACATCATCAAAAAGAGGGAGATCGTTGAATCTCAGATTTTGATGATAAATAAATTAAAAATTATTTGATCTAATCCATATGTTGAGAAAAGTATGCAGGATTAACTACGATAGCAGTAAGACATGAAGCATGTGTTATGCCGAAGTTAAGATAGAGATCTCGTTAGGAGTTCAAGAGTTCGTCGGAAGTCTGGACGCTCGTCAGAAGTTCTACCAGAACCAACCGAGAAGTCCAGGAGCTCACCAAAGAAGCTCAGCAGAACTCACCAAAAAGATCATCGTAAAGTCCAGAAGCTTACCGGGAGTCTACCAAAACATTGCCAAAAGTTCGTCGGAAGTTCACCGGAAGAACGCCGGAAGGTCGTTGGAGGAAATCAAGATAAATCAGATTTAATTTGCTTAGAATATGTCTTAAAAATTATAGCCAGCATATAATTAGAGTTTGATTTGGGAGGTAATCTCATCATCTCTATTAGGGGCCAATTGGGCCCGAAGTTAGGCTGGTTTGGGTCGGATTCAATGCTCAACTAGGATGTTGGACCTTGTCTGGCAGTGGCACCGCTTGGGACTCAGTCTCCCAGGTGGTCTGGGCGATGGTACCATTGGTAATTAATGCTGCTAGCGATGGTACCGCCCTTATCAAGCGGTGGTATCGGTAGAGCTCGATCTCCGAGCTATGTCAGGCGATCGTACCACCCAAACTAGGAGGTAGTACCGCCCAGTGTCAAGTGTCAGGTGTTACGCGGTGGTACCACCCAATAATGGTAGTGGTACCGCCAGTAACCCAAAATCCAAGGATATGACACTTTTTGGCTCTAATTCTGAAGCCAATTGAGGCCTATAAATACCGCGCCCTTTTCTACATGAAAGGGCATAAAAAGCATTGGCATAATCCTGAATTCTTGAGTGTTAAAGTGTTGTAAAAATTGCTAGAGTCCTCCTCTTCCTTTTCTAAGTGTTGAGATCATTCAAGAGAGGTGTAAGACTTGTAAGGGTTATCTCCTAAGCTCGTGAAAAGGAGAAAGTATTGTAAAAGGTTGTTGGGCTTCGCCTATTGAAGGAAGGCCATTAGTGGATGCCGGTGACCTCGACGGAGAAGGAATCCGAAAGTAGATGTAGGTCACAACGACCGAACTACTCTAAATTCTGGTTTACTTTTTGTTTGTGCAATTTACTTTTCTGCAAACCTCCTTAATCTTCTCTTTGCACTTTTACGAAAGCTTTCAAATTTAATTTCTTTCCGAAACGGATTGAATCGAAACGAATATTCTTCGGAATCGAGTTTAATCGTGAAAGTTTTCTACTGTACTAATTCACCCCCCCCCCCCCTCTTAGTGTTGCTCTTGATCCTAACAGAACGTAGTGCCAAATAGGCAAGGGTTCTCATTATCTTGGACCAATGGGTATAAAAAAATTAATCCAAGAACATAAGATCATGTTAGCAACTTGAAATATATGAATACTTTTAAGGAAGAGATTAGAATATGTAGACACTACGATCAAAAGAAGATTCTTTTTTTTTTGCTTATGAGAGACTAAGTGAGTAGAGAAAACATATAGAGAGATTAATAGTACTAGGTTTAAAAATTGGTACACTAAAAAGGTTAAACACATAAATGATGCAAGAATTATTATTGATAAAGATCTCAAAAATAATATTTTAAATATAAAAAGATTTGAAGATAGAATATAGTTCTAAAATTTACGAAAGAATAAAACGTTTTGAATGTTATTAGTGCTTATGCGCGTGAAGTCAAATTGGCTAATCAAACCAAAAAAGAATTTTAGGAAAGCTTACATGATATCATTAAAGGAATGTATATAAAAAAAAACTTACTGAGAGAAGATTTGAATAGTTATATAGGAAAACATATGATGAATATAATGTGGTGCAAAGGGGCTTCAATTACGGGGAGAGAAATAAAGATGATGGTATGATTTTATATTTTATAACTTCATAATGATTATAAATACTCACTTAAAAAAAGAGATGAATATTTAAATACTTATAAAATGGTTAAAATTATAGTCAAACAGACTTTTTTCTTACTAGAAAAGTAGATAAAACTATTTATAAGAATTATAAAGTTATACTTAACAAAAGTTTATAGAATCAACATAAGTTGATGGTATTATATATTTACAGTAAAAAATAAAAGAAGAAAAAAATAGTAAAAAAAATTACTAGAACTAGATGGTGGAATTTTGAAAATGATAATATAAATAATTTTAAGAATAAGATAAAAAGAGAAGCGACTTATAACTTACATGATGATAATATTAATATTATTTGGACTATAATGACTAATAAAATTATGAACTTAACAAAAAAGATTCTAAACTATAAGTAAAGGTATGATCTTAAAAGAGAGATTGTAGAAATATTTTTTACTAAAAGATCATATTTTAAAGATTGATAAAATTATGAAATAAAAATTTAAAAAATCTAAAAAAGTGATTAGTATGGTAAAATTTAAAGTTTATAATAATTTTTATAATAAATTAGGTACTAAATATGGTGAAAAAGATATATATTAAATTGCTAAAGCTAGGAAAAGAAAGTGTAAGGATTTCGGTAATATTAGATGAATTAAAGATAAATATTAAAGAATACTTATTAGTGATAACAAGATTAAGAAAAGATAGATTAATTATTTCTATAAATTATTTAATAAATATTTTATATATGATTTAGAATTAACGATAAATAATAGTAGTAGATTTAATAATCATATATTTATTCATAAAATTAGAGCTAATGAAGTAAAAGATATATTAAAATAGATAAAAATAGCTAAGAGTGCAAGGCTGATAGTATCAGGTTTTGAAAAGTTTAAGAGATAAAGGAGTAGCTTGGTTAATAAACTTATTTAACAAAATTATGAGATTCAAAAAAATATTTGATAAATGGAGAAAGAGTTGGTGCCAATTTATAAATAATATCGAAAGTTTGGAAAAGAGTTATTAAAGTAGGATATGCCTTGAAACATATATATCTAAAAATTAATTTTGTTTTATGCTTAGAAGATCGAAGCTATTTATTTATTAATATAATCAATAAAAAAGTGTAAAGAGAAAAAAAAATATTTATATGTGATTTTTATTGACTTAGAAAAATAATTATTATAGATTTATTATAATGAGTTTTTAAAAAAAATATATATCTACTAATTATATTGATATTATTAAGGATATGTATTATAATGTAGCTATAAGTGTTAGAACTATAGAAAGCATATCTAGTGAGTTTTCTATTAGTATAGAATTACACCAAAGATCCACATTTAGTCCATCCCTTTAAACATTGATGATGAATGTACTTACTAATCACTTACATAATAAACTGTCCTTATATTATTTATTGATCATATTATCTTAGTCAATGAATGACTAAGTGGTATTAATTATAAGCTTGAGTTATTGAGATAAGCCTTAGAAACTAAATATTTTAGATTAATTAAATAAGAGAACATATAGTTAAATTGGACGGATAAAAAATCTTTTAAATAAAAAATTTTAGGCATCTTGGATTAATTATTTAATAAAATAAATAGATTAATAAATATATTATTTATAGAGTGAAAACAAGATGATCAAAATAACGAGTGGTATTTGGAGTCTTATATGATTATCGGATACCTTTAAGATTATTTTTTTATAAAATAATTAAGAGACAAATATCATTTTATTAATTTAAGTATTGGATAGTTAAGAAAAAAATATATACAAAAAATTTATGTTATCATGAGAATATTGAGATATATGTGTGACGTTAAAAAATAAAAAAATATTTTTATTCGTGAATTATGAGCATGTGATATGAAAAGAGATAGAGAAATATCTAAAAAGATTTTATTAAAAATTATAAATAAAAATTTATATATTTTAAATTTAATTAAATATATATTTTTTATATATCTCAATAATAATGAAAGATCCATATAGTCAAACCTATATAGTTTGGACTTACGTCTTTATTATTATTATTATTATATTTAATATTGAATTAAACTGATCCAATCAAGAAAGAAAGAAAAGAAACAAATTAGCTTAAAAGGAGGGAAAGAAAGTTTGGACTTACGTATTTATTATTATATTTAATATCGAATCCATATATATATATTTAGCTTAAAAGGAGGGAAAGAAAGAAAAGAAACAAATTAATGGTTTGAGATATTTTTGTCCCACTAAAAAAGCAAGGGTTCTCTTCGAGGGCTAGATTCATCCAATAAATATAATCCAAATTCGAACCAACACATGAAATTTTGCGAATAATTTAATTTTGGCCATTATTTATTGGATGAGTCTAAGTTTTAGGTCAATTAAATCAATTTGATTGACTGAGTTAATTTAAGAGAATGTGTTGGTTTTGAGAAGTGAGGAAGACGAAGGGAAAAAAAAAAAAGGAGAAGATAAATGTACCTTTATTATTTTGAAAATACGAGAAAAAGGAAATATATAAAAAACAATTAGTTGGAATTTACCTATGAATATTAACTTATTAAGCATTTTGGCGGATGATATTTTAATGCTGTTCGGTGGAGCCCAAACCAAGTCCAAGCTTTAGGATGGTGTGAGAACTGCTGACCTAGTCGAGCCCAACCAAGTCCAAGATTTAGGGCTCAATTTAGCTGGTCCGATTGAGCCGAATGTAAGCACAAGATTTGGGATGAGCCGAGCTCCAATACACGAAGCTTTATTTCACGACCGTGTGAGAATCCGGACCTGGTTGAGCTCAACCAAGTCCAAGTTTTGGGGCTCCATTTTATCGGCGCTGTTGAACCCAATATAAGCCCATGATGTAGGATCAATCGGGGAGGCGAGATCCAAACTACGCTTGGTGACAACCCGTTTCCTTCCCCCTTCGAAGAACGAATACCTCTCCGTCCGCTGCCTGCTCATTCCCTCGCCTCGATCGCCCTATCCTTCTCCATAACCCTAGCCATAACCCCCCCTCCGATCGAAGCTCGAGATCCTTCACCGCGATCGGACGCTATTTGCAAGCCATGGGTTCCGGTAAGCGATCTTTCGTTTCTGTTCCTTTTTTTTTTCTTTTTCTTGATTTCTCATCTTCACTTTAGATCAAATGAGTATTTCTTGTTTCCTTGTTGGATGGTTGTTATCTGCTTTTGACGGTTCAGTAGATCTTCACTTGGTGCTGTTAGGGCTTTTTGATCTTGTTCATTTCATGTTGGTCTTTGGGTTATTCGATGAACTCCTATTTCGTAGTCGGGAGATGGGAAACAAGTGGCTTTTAATGTTCTTTGTAGGGTTTTTCCCCCCTACTTAGAAGTAACTCTTCTTGTTGGTTTTTTTAGATGCTGATATGGAGGACTATGGGTTTGAATACTCTGATGAGGAACCGGAGGAGCAGGACGTCGACATTGAGAACCAATACTACAACTCGAAAGGTAATTTGGTTGTTATGATGAGGGCATTTTGGTTGTGTTTGGTTGTGTTTGTATAGGTTTTCTTTTGCTGTAAAACATTCAAGATCATTTATCTCCTGCCATGTTATTTAATTATAGTGTGCATAATTTTGGAGTGAGCTTTTCGTATCTAATTTTCATCTTACAGGGTTAGTGGAAACTGATCCTGAGGAAGCACTTGCTGGTTTTGCTGAAGTAGTGCGCATGGAACCTGAAAAAGCCGAGTGGTAACCATCTGGAGTTTTATATAACTGCCCAATAATAGAGAGATGGCTTTAGGTTGCACTTGTATTCATATGACACATTTATCCTTTTCATAAATTAACTCCATGAAACAGTAAAGGAGCAACAACTTTTCAGTAGGTATATTACAGCAATACATCTTTATGCTAGCCTGATATTGTTATGGAATGTGTGAGGTTGCAAGTTCTTGGAAACTCAGAATTGAGTTTTTTGTTGTTGATGAGTGACTACTTCTCAGTGGAGTACAAATATTTTCTTGATGTAATGCATGGACACTAGATGCTCTGGGATAAGCAGATAAGATAGTGTTATGTGTAAAAATAAGAAAAATCCATGCATGCACATCTAAATTTGCTCTTTTTATGGGTAAATGGGAGACTATGCTTGATATAATGCATGTTTTTATGATACAAAGATGTTTTGCAATAAGCAATCGGCACAAGTTCACATTTCATTTTAATATGTTAGTAAGAATCAATATAATTGATCACAAGAAACATATTTATCCTGAACTTACAAGAACCATACTTTCCACCAATTTTGTTTGTCTGAAATGTTTTAATTTTTAACAGGAGCGAGTTACCAATTCTATTCATTATTTGCCAGTTTTGTCTCACATTTATTTTGGAGTTATAAGATTAAGAAAAATGTTGGTCGCTGCATCTGCTCAAATGTTGGACAAGTTCTTAAAAATAGTTTTATTTTCTTTAGCGTGTAGGAATTATGTGATTTTATGCTACTATTTGGTTTTAAGTTGTTGCTTCTTGGTTTTCGGTATCAGGAAATAAGCCGTGCCTGAGCGTTTATTTTTTTTCATTTTGAACAGGGGATTCAAAGCTTTAAAACAAACAGTTAAGCTTTATTATAGGTTAGGCAAGTATAAAGAGATGATGGAAGCTTACAGGGAGATGTTGACATATATCAAATCAGCAGTTACACGTAACTATAGTGAAAAATGTATAAATAACATAATGGACTTTGTTTCGGGTTCCGCAAGTCAGAACTTTGGTCTTCTACAGGAGTTCTATGAGACGACGCTGAAGGCACTTGAGGAAGCAAAGAATGAGGTTACTGGCCAACTTTACATTTTTTTCACGGTCATGTCTATGATTAGTCAATTGTCATTGTGTTTGATGGATTGCCAACTAGACCGTATGTGTTTCGGCAGAGACTTTGGTTTAAAACAAATCTTAAGCTTTGCACGATTTGGTTCGACATTGGTGAATATGGACGAATGAGTAAGGTATTTTTGTTTCTCTAGATAGCACTTTTTATGTCATAGAGTTGCTTGCTTTATGTGCATGATTTGAAATGTATTAAGTGATCCTTTGGTTCATCCAGATATTGAAAGAACTCCACAAATCTTGCCAGCGAGAAGATGGTACTGATGATCAAAAGAAAGGCACACAACTTCTGGAGGTCTATGCTATTGAGATTCAAATGTACACACAGACTAAGAATAACAAAAAACTAAAGGTTGGTTTTATTAAATATGTTAATGTTAATAATAATTGTTGAATGAATTAGTGTTGTCTATTTTATGTCTTGTGGATTAGGCTTGAACTTTGATGGCTAGGAAGAAAATGTTGCCTTTATTAATAAAGTTCATCTTGAATGATGAATATGATGGTGGAAAATATGGTGAACTTATGTAGTTTATCTGTTAATCTGTGCCATTTTGTCTCATAATCTATCTTTTAATTTTTCGTTTAGTTATTAAATCTTTACATTCAGATTAGTAATCGAATTTGCTTTTTGAAATTTATTCACTATGTCTTGTAATTCTTTGTACTTTCTGCCACAGCTTAATGTTTGATTAATCTTGCCTTCAGAAGTAAAATTGCTCTAAAATTTTGGTAGATTTGTACTATGCTTATGTATAATTGATGTAGAACTTCATCTTTTATCTGTGGTGAGGAAATGTGAGATACAAAACTTTACTGCTAGAAACTAAAAGTAATTAATTATTCAATCAATTTTTTTCACATTACTCATGTGTGAAGCTGCTCAATTCTATATACATCTAAGTTGATTTTGCATCGAAATTGCCACCGGTACCACAATGATCATGGTTTGAAAAACTGGCCAGATTGGACTTGGTTACAGTTGATATGAAGTGGGTAAGGAATAGTTGGAGTTTGCCAATTCTATCAGAATCTAAGACGAACAGAAGTGAGGGAGGAGGGAGGAGGAGAACAAGAAGAAGAGAGGAGAAAAGGAGGAGAAGAGAGAAAAAGGAGATAGAAAAGGAGATAAGAATAAAAATGAAAAAAAAATGTTGCCAACAATGGCGAACCATTGCATCAGCATGATTGGCAGCTCTAGACCAGTGTGGACTCTCCAACTTGATGGAGGTGCCGGAAGGAAATGGACAGCTAGGGGTGGAGGGTGGAGAGTGTTGCTTCTCAACAAGAATGGAGTGCAGACTTTAAGATTGCTTTATTCTGTTTTTATTTAAAAATTTCTTTGTCTACCTATTTAAGGCTTACGTGGTCCCAGTAGTGGTGTATCTAGGCCTTAGTGCTTCCTCCACCTTTTTTTTTCTTTTGACTTTTTGTCCACATGTTTGTACCTTTTTCCTTTTATTTAACATCTTGCCTGCACTAATTTAGTTGCCTATTCTAATTTAGTTTTGTTTCAACAGTCTTATTTTTTGTTTATACTTTAAAACTATATATTGGTAAATTTTAGCTGATTTAGCAGAAATAAATATGTTTCTAATTTTAATTGATTAGATCCAGATTTTAGGTGAAATAATTACACTGAAAACTACAAAATTACTTACAATTTTATGTTTATTATTTATACTTTTGAATTCTTTTAATTTATGTTGAGTTTAATATTAATTTTTTAAAAACCGATCTGCCAGTCCATGTCACCCTATCCAGATTTAATCCCAATTTTTTCAGAAATGAAGGTCATGCTCTTGGTTCTTATTTTCAAAACCTTGGATTATAGAATTATTGACATTTAGGTCTCGAAATCATTGTAGACTGGTTTCAGGAAGAATATGAAGTATAGTGCACAATGCAGAATGAATATGTTTTTGAACATTTTGTAATAGTTTGATTTTTTAATGAAATTTAGCTTTCATTGGTATTCAAGAGCAGTTTCTTGGCCAACATAGTTTTGGTGCATCTCTTCTAGGTGAAGATAATAAACTTCCATCAAAATTGTAGTTATACCAATCTCACTGCTATTTTGTATGAAAAGCTAAGGTTCATTGCTTGCAAAACACACAACTATTATCCTAGTGGAATAATGGATTGAGAACTTCTACACTGGATTAAAAATCAATGATAGTTGACCATTCAACCAAGTGCAAATTAAGATAGAATAAGACCTTTGTGCTGAAAACTATATTCCAGAATCCAAGTTCATAGTATTCAACTTTTTTAAGTAGAAATGAGAGGAGGATAAAGCTTAAATGAAGAAAATTGCTTTCTATAGTTTAATTTCTGTATGTTGGGTTCTTATCTGAAGTTTAGATGAAGGAATGCGGTGCTGCCTGGTACGGTACGAAATGGGTGATATGCACTGGTCCAAGAGCTGGCAGAGATGCAGACCAGCCCATTTCGACCAGTACATAGAAATTGTGAGGCATACCGGTCGTATAACAACTGTATTGGTGTCATTTCAATTGACAGTAGCCGCCCAACGGTCAAATTGACTGTTGGGGTCTGTTCTGCACTTATAAAAGCCTTCCCTTCCTTATTTGACTGTTGGAGGCTGTTTTGGACTCATAAAAGCTCCTCCCTCCTCCCTCCTCCCCTTTCACTCACACTCACCCTCATTCCCATTCTTTCCCACTTTCTCACTCTTTCTCATGCATTCTCACTCTCATTAAACTTGTTTAATATCTCTAATCATCGATTAGTGGAAATCAGCCAATTGATTTATATAAAAAAGGGACTTGAACTCAAGGTTAGGTGGATTTTGTTTCCAATTGAAGGTATTTAGCATCTTTCTATGTTTTCTTTATCGTGTCATGTAATTAGAGGAAGAATTCTTGATTGATTAGTAAACGATTAATTAAGACCTAATTGGTGGTACTTAAGTAATTAGTTTAGATTGATCATATATTGACTTATTGCATTCATTACAAGAATGGGTAATTAGAGGCTTATTAATGCATATTTAAGTATCAAATTTAATTTATATATCAATAAATTAGGATAAAAACCCTGAAATATTTTTTTAATATTGCCATTTTTTAGCCTTTTTTTCAGTTTATTGATATATAACCATGAACAATTACATCTATGCCAATCGACAAGGGACCCAAAATGTTTGGTCAGCATGATATGGTGAACCATTCTATTAGTTACTGAATTAGTTTCAATCTTTCATCCATTTTTTGACCTTTTTTCAGTTTATCAGTGTGTACCCATGTACAGTTACATCAGGTGTGACAAGGGAAAGATATGCTTGGTTGCATGATATGGTGAACCATGCGAATTAGTTTCAATCTTTCACCCCCATTGAAATTTCTGTGAGAGGAAACAATTATTAATCACTAAATGTCGAAAGAAATTTCCTCTCTTGCAAAAAAAAAGAAAAAAAAACAATTGAGGTCTTATCTGATGTAGTCTTAAACTTATATCTAGATGCAATAGCTATTATTATTTATGCTAATACTTGCTACTTGACTTTTTGCTACTAATTTTAAGTGCTTTGTACTGTGTTATCTATATTGAACTGAACATATGGTGTATAACAGCAACTATATCAGAAGGCACTTTCCATAAAGTCAGCAATACCTCATCCAAGAATCATGGGTATAATTCATGAATGTGGAGGGAAAATGCACATGGCTGAGAGACAATGGGCAGAAGCTGCCACTGATTTTTTTGAAGCCTTCAAGAACTATGATGAAGCTGGAAACCAGCGTCGTATCCAATGTCTCAAGTATATAGATGTTTCATTTTCTTTCTTTGCCACATTTTGTACTAAAGGCATATTTCCCTTTATCCAACTCATGCCAATTTAATGCATCGGATCTTACTTCAGGTATTTGGTTCTTGCCAACATGCTGATGGAATCTGAAGTAAATCCATTTGATGGTCAAGAGGCAAAGCCGTAAGTTTTCTAGAGGCTCATAAATGTTTTTTTATTTTGCCTTTTTTTTACCTGTAAATATTAGCTGTGTGCTTTAAGCAGATACAAGAATGATCCCGAAATTTTGGCAATGACAAATCTGATCGCAGCATATCAACGAAATGAGATATTAGAATTTGAGAAGATCTTAAAGGTTATTACTTTGTGCTATGTTGACCTTTTAAATTGAAATCTCAATCATGTCCCTGTATTCCAACCTACTGATGTTGAAAATATTTTTTACAGAGTAACAGAAGAACAATTATGGATGATCCTTTCATCCGAAATTATATTGAAGATCTTTTGAAAAATATCAGAACTCAAGTTCTCCTGAAGCTTATAAAACCTTATACACGAATCAGGATTCCATTCATCTCAAAGGTAATCCTTTTTTTCCTTTATTAGTTTGTTCGCTTAAGCTGCATATTAACTTGCTGACTAACCATTCAAAACAAATGTGCAATATGCACATGATGTTGAAATTATTTAAAATCAATATCATAGTCTTGGGGAAAAGAATTATGTAGTCCTTGGTTAAGACTTGGTTTCCCCTGGAATTCAGTTCCTCGTTTAGCCCTTAAAAGGGTTTTCATTTTGGAAGACCACACTACCCCTATTGAATTTGCTAAATTTTTATAGTATTGAACAGAGAACATGCTTATTTGAGATAAATTTTAAGAGGTTTATGTAGTGCCTCTTGGCAGTTTGTTGTTTCAACTATACAATAGTGGAGATATGGTTGGTTCGATCTTTACTTGATGATTTGAGCCACTTGTGCTGTGGTATAAGCTCAACCTTCTGAATACGCCCCAGCTGATTTTTTTGTTTAGTCATCTGTGTTTTTTTGTTTCAATCAACCTTTTTTCCTGTGGTGTATTTGTGTTATGTCCTTTAGCGTGTACCTTTTTTTTTCGTTCAATCTATTCTTGCTGTGTCATTTTTCAGTTTTAATTGGGTGTGAGACCCCTGGTAAACTAATTTTCCATCTTTAATGAGGCTGAATTTGTTTGCTTGCTTTTAGGAACTTAATGTGCCTGAGAAAGATGTGGAGCAGCTCCTAGTTTCGTTGATTTTGGACAATCGTATTCAAGGTCACATCGATCAAGTCAACAAGCTATTAGAGAGAAGCGACAGGTCTCACACCTTTCCTCTCTTTCTTTTAGATTTTGAATGCATGATGCAGAACCCAAGTTTGAAACCACCACAACTTTCACAGGTCCAAGGGAATGAAGAAATATGCTGCCATAGACAAGTGGAACACTCAGCTTAGATCATTGTACCAAACAATCTCAAATAGAGTAGGCTGACCCTGAAATCCGCTTTGTTCTACATGTCTTTGTGTTGTACTCAGCTTTGTTCTACTGTGTCGAAGATTACATACATGTCGAAGCATTTCGTCAGAAGAGGCCACAAACTATGGGCGTGTGTTGTTTTCTTTTGTAGTGAACAGTTGACCGAGTGCCAAGAAGAAGCTGTTTTTTCGGGTCATAGTGGGCAGAATCTACAAATGGTACGTATTCCATGAGTAATGGTGATTTAGAAAGAGGTCATTTACATTACATTGGGACCTATGTTTATGTGTTTTGCCTTAAATTCTTGTCTTCTAACGTTCAAAAATGTTTTACAAGAAAGTACACTTTCTTTGCTTAGGTGGCATCATTATTTCCACTTATTGATCTGCTGAGTTTGGCATATATGAGGCCATTTCTATGGATGACGTGGTTTCGTAGTTATTATGGTATCACGTAATATATTTATTATATTCGACGATAAATGGAGGATCACAGTGAGTTTTAGCCAATTCGTTCAAATTAACAGAAATCACCAATATATATATATATATGTATATGTATATGTATATGTATATATATATGTATATATATATGTATATATATATATATATATGTATATGTATGTATATATATATATATATGTATATATGTATATGTATATGTATATATATATATGTATATATGTATATATGTATATATATGTATATATATATGTATATATGTATATACATGTATATATGATGATAATACTATCGAATCAGCAATAAAGCATCTCGACATAATCGACTATGAAGTGTGTGTCTTATGATGATGATGACGTAATCAAATCAATCATAAAGTGACATAAAGGTTCTTATGCTGGCAACGTGGCCAAATCAGCCATAAAGTGTCATATTATAGTTGAATTGACCATGAAGTAGTATCTCACGATAATGATATACACGAATGCCATGAAGCAACCAATGAGAGGTCCAACAACATGATACGACAACCTGTTAAATAAAACATTATGTCACAGTCGTATTTCATGTGTCAAAATACGACAAGAGGTACATGATAAGATAAATATTGAACAGTTATTGACATAGACCGACACCAAGCCGATATGTCATCTCGACATGACCAACATGCTAACCTTATTCGATCAACATGTTATGTAAGATCAAAACCTACGAATCAAACTCTAGCCTGGAAAGTATTATTCTATCCTCCAAGTTCAATGCAACACAACTCTATGACCCCATTTATGGTCGGATGGTGAACATAACCATTCTCGAAATTAATTATAACATCAACTAAATGGTTGTGTTGACCCCTTGGTAGGGTTCTCTTCCTTTCTCTCTTTCAAACAAATAGTGGTAATACTTGGCTAAATTTTCTAAATCCAAATTAAGTTAAGCATTGAAGGATCGCTTATCAACTATGCCCCTGATGCAATTCTTGTAGGGTCTCAACCCTAATTGTTTGCCCTCCCAACACTGTATTTTGAGATAAATTCGGAAGTGAATCTCGATTGACTCTGATTCTCCAACCCCGTTGAACATCAAAACATTATCGTAACATGTGAAGAATATTATAGTATCAAAATTGAGGACAAATACACTATTTCCCAACTTCGTAAGAACCTCATTATTTAGAAAGTTCTCTGCTAAAATAAAATTAGAAGACAAGAAATTGGACAAACATCTCCATTGTGTCAAAGGGGGTTTTGCATATGTTAGAATGATGAGAGGCAAAGAACAAAATGGTGACAATGTAGATAGATCCAAGTGAAACCCTACTGCTCTGAGAATACAGAGAAGAGGACAGTCTAATGAAACACAACCGCCGGCCGTAAGAGAGACCAAAAGAGCACAAGTCTTCACACGTTCACAACTATAACCAGCAGCGGAGAGAACAGATAGAATCAAGTTTTCCTACCTTCAGCAATGAATTCCCCCCGGCTTCTTATTTCACCTTGCAGAGAGAGGGCTCTCACTTGGCCATCATGACTTTAACGAATTCCTCGTAGTTGATCTGGCCATCACCGTCAACATCAGCCTCTCGAATCATCTCGTCGACCTCCTCATCCGTCAACTTCTCGCCAAGGTTGGTCATGACATGGCGGAGCTCAGCGGCAGAGATGAAGCCATTCTGATCCTTGTCAAATACCCGAAAGGCCTCCTTCAGCTCCTCCTCTGAGTCGGTATCCTTCATCTTGCGTGCCATCAGGTTGAGGAACTCCGGGAAGTCAATTGTCCCATTGCCATCTGCATCAACCTCATTTATCATGTCCTGCAGCTCAGCCTCCGTGGGGTTCTGACCCAGAGAACGCATCACGGTTCCCAACTCCTTGGTTGTGATGCAACCTGTTAAGATTACAAGGTAAAAAAGAGAACAGTGTGAGTGTCCATATAACTATGACCCTTGAACAGATTGTGAATTGAACCAAATGGACAAGTTACTCATAACTCTAATGCGCGTTAAACATCCATGCATCACAGAGTTCTTCATGTCAATGTATTGACAATCAAACAAATAGCACAAGTATTAATAGAATTTTAGACCTTTATTGTTTTTACATTGTGGAAAGCATAAGCACAACCTGTAATCTTGAGGTAGATAATTGAAAATGCGAGGTTAAGAATTAGGACTGGATGCGGAAAAGTGCAGTAAATCATAAGCAAAACATGTTTCTTTGCCTTTAGTTATTATCTGACTTAACAATGCAACAAAACTATGACAGCCCGATATGAAGTATATGTTCCATAAAAAGATAACAACAACAAAAGATTCACCTGCCACAGAACACATCTATATGTGAGGTTTTGAAACAAGAACCAAATGAATTACACGGGGGACAAGAAAAAGGGATCCGTAGAATTACAAGAAATGAGAAACAACTACCTCGAATTGTTGATCAAGTTTGTAAATCACACTCTACATACAAAATCCTTTATGTTTCATATACCGACCATATGAAGTGTAAGCAGTATCTAGGACCTAGCAAACTAACTTTATGTTTCATATACCAACCATATGATTCTTTTAGCAAAGAATCATAGATTGGTAACAACACACAACATGTCAAAGCTGCTAAAGAAGTTCGAGAATAACACAGTTCTCTTGACTCTGCAATTCAAAACATTTGACAATTTTTCTTATTGAATATGTAAAGCTCATATTCAAGAATCAATAATAAGTTTCACGAGCTTTTTAGGTCAACAAGAAATCATAAGTAATGTTCTACAGGAAAGAATATCAAGGTCACTAAATCCTAGTTTCAGCTAGCTAGCCTACTACCAAATAAAGTTTCATAATAACTAGCGAGGGACATTAGAAATCTTATACATTTGAGATTAAAAAAAAAAATTTATAAGACAGTTGTTAGACCAATAATGTTTGATGAATCTAAGTGTTGGACTAACAATTTTTATGGATCTAAGTGTTGAACAGTTAAGAAAAAATAAAAATAAAAATTTTATGTTGTTAAGATTAGAATGTTTTCATTTGTGAACAATCATGTGCCGCTTTGATAGAGATAAAATAAAAAAGAATTGTTTATGATAGTATAGACATATGCTCAGGAAACTTCCAAATATGGTAGTTAGAATATATGAAATTATTACTATTAGTAGTATAAGGAGAGAGAGAGGGAGACGTAAAAGGATTTTAATAAAAACAATAAATACAAATTTAAATATTCTTAATTTAACTAAAGATATGGCTCTTCACAAATCTCAATGGCGAAAAAAGCTCAATATAACCGACCCCAAATAATAACTATCCAACTTTGAAAAAACAGATCAATAAGGAGAAAAGAATGAACACAACATAATGAATGTATAAGTAATTTGGCCATTGAATTTGATGCCATGAATGTATACTTCATGGTGCAAGGTGTGAGATTGTGGATATTCTTGGTTCTTTTTCTTTTTTCTAAAAATGTCGTGTTGTCACAGACAAACTTCTAAACAGGATGTTTGATGTAATGTTTATGTATGTCCGTGTCTTTTGGTATATTCATTCTGTGCACAGCATGTAGAGGGACGGTCGAAGACTTAATAGCCTCATTTTAGTTTGGTTTGCTGGCCGTTTTAGGCTTGTAAATAAAGGTTGTGTCATGTGGACACTTGTGAGAGATATTTGGTCTGTAGTGGACCATTTTGACCCTTTGTTGTGCAACCATTCAGAGCTTGTAAAGTCTGTTTGTAATTTGCATTGGCTATGAAGTGTTTTCTGGAATGTTTACTTGTGGATCCCGAGTGAGGCGTTTTCTCTAACCCGTTTTCTCTTTTGTAGGTCCTAAGGGACCATGGGAGGTTTCGGGGAGACTGACCTTTGCGGACTTAGGCACTGTTTGTAAAGGGTGCTGCACGACTTAGGCAAAACTAGCTAAGTCCGTGACAAATGGTATCAGAGTGGAACACTCATATGGAGTCGATATGGAGATCGGACTCAACACAAATGAAGGCACACTTGGAGTCGATATGAAGATCGGACTCAACAAAGGGCTGCCCATGGAATGGTGGGCGTGAGGGCCACCTTCAACTCAATGTAAAACGAGGAGCGAAGCAACTTGGGTGTAACTTGGCGAAAGTATCCAAGCCGCATGAAGAGAGCTAGCATGGGAGATAGAACATGGAGCGAAGGCACAGAGCTTTCCTTGGACAGAGGTCAAGGACATGAACTCTTGCAGAGGCAAGAGCGGGATCATGTCGTTCCATGGGTCCCTCATTTTGATGAAGCGGGCTCATCCTGCATGGTGCCAAAGATGAAGGGAGCTTCGAGACACATGCACCTTACCTCAGAGATGCATTTAACGGAGGAATTGAGATGACTCAACTTGCAGAGACGAAGTTGGGTTCAGAAGGCCTTGGCACGGGGCAAGAGGACGCGAAAGCGAGTACTCTTGAAGAATATGCCATAGTGCTGCCATTCAAGTTGTCAAGAAGGAAGCTGTGTGCAGCGGAGATTGTGCTGGTAGGGGCAGAGGCCCAGGATTCAGACAATGGTGTACTAATTTCAGTGAAGTCGGTGGACTTCGGGAGCTACTAGGCGATGGACTGTCATAGAGTGGTGCTTCGTCTAGGTCAGTGATTTAAAAAGCGCTAGGCGCCAAGGTCCAAAAACGTCCGAGGCGCTAGGCGCTCGCCCGAGCGAAGCGAGGCGCTAAAATATAAAAATATATAATATAATTAATAAATATAATTATTTAAAATTTTAAATAAAAATTATGCTATTAAATTAAGAAAATCTATTAACAGTATTGAAAATTAATCATTTCAAATAAACTTAAT